ACACAAACACACACACACACACACACACACACACACACACTTTTATGGACATTTTCTACACATACGAGAACATAATACACCATATTATAAATGATAAAACATTTGTGTATCTTATTTTGTTAATGATTTTCCCATTTTCTGACTGATCTCATCTCAGTCAACAATAGTGTGTCATTAGGGTCTTTCTGATTTTCCTATTTTCGGCCAGAAGTTAAAAAAAAAAACTTTAAAAAAACAACTATGAAGGCCCAACACGACCTGAGCAAAATCCCGGCTGTTGATGGCGTACGTCCTGACTATACAAGGGAGGCAAGACAGGACAGAGAATACCTGGTTACTGTTGAGGCAGGTTGCTTCCCTTCCTTCTCGATGGCTTGAATGTACTGGTCAAACATTGTGTGCAACTGTAGCTGCAGTATGTAAAGTGACGCGGACAGAACAACGGGGCTATTGTCGCTTTCGTTAATTGGTCGCTTTTAAGCACAAGGGGGCTATCCCGAAAAATGCTGTAGTGATAAAATCCAAGGTAAAGTTTTTGCCTCTAGTTCAGTTTCTTTAAAAGGCAAGGAGAGGGGTTTTTTTTCTCAATTATCAAAGACATATACACACCAATGAATCCAAACTTTTCCTATAGGTCGGACAATGACCACTTATGGTGTTGGTCACGATTTCTGGAAACCCCCGAAATCTGGGTTAGCCCGCTTGCCCTTAAAGGGGGGGGGGGGTCCCAGGAGCGAGCTAACTCCTTTATTTCTGGAACTAGAGACCTTAAATTTGGCATACAACTTCGTCACGATACAGGTATTACGATGAAAAAATATTTTTCCCGGATCCAAGAAGGCCGCCATTTTTATAGCGGCCATATTGGATTTTCACATCATGTTTTCAAATCGATACTTCTCTGAACTTTACTGATGGATTTTATTGTCCTTTGACACACATGTACCCAAGAGGCAGATAATATAAATTTTGTCAGCATCTTTCGATATCTATTTCGTCTTGGAGTTACATGAAGAATCGTGCAAATCTTGTCAAAAATGCAGAAAACGGTCAATTTTCCAATTTTTGTAAATCATAAAATGAAAACCAAGATAGATATAAAAAAAACGGTGACAATGCAATATTACGCGAGCAAATGCAACTCATCCTACAGAATAAGACACTGCAACCAAAAGAAAACGTTTATTCTTTCAAAATGTTGGGTTTATATCTGAAAAGCCGGACAACAATTTGGTATCATGTCTATGATTCAATGGGATGGGTTAAACGATAAGCATACAAAGCAATGAGGGAAAAATACAATTGCAGCGTCACATATAAATGGTTAGGCTCTTCACAATTACTGGCGGAATACATTCTATCGTCCTTATCTCCCCTCCTTCTTTTTTATGTCTGTTACTCTCTTGTAACAAAGCAATGAGGGAAACAAATACAATTGCAGCGTCACATATAAAGGGTTAGGCTCTTTGTAATGAATTATTTGCTGAATTTTTTTATACTAAACTACCAGTTAAAACTCATATACATTACTAAAACTGCCTCCACAACTTTTACCCACAATGTAAAGTCATCTTGAATACTTTTATTCGTTCAAGATCTGATGTGTTATAATATTATACATTATATGTGTTCTTTTTTCGAAATTTGGAATTCCTGTGAGAAATCATTATACATTTTCCTTTCTATTTATCATTTACAAACAATCAATATTCAAATAGGCAAAGAAAAGTTAGATGGATATTTCAAACAATAGGAACTAGGCAGCTTGGAAAAATGTGAGCTTTAGTTGAGAATTATGTTCAGTGCACATACATTTTTAATAGTGTTCTCAAATTATTGTCTGTCCGGTATTTCGTCTCTATATCTACGATGTATGTGTGAAAGTATGAATGTTTGATGTGTGCGAATGTTGGGGTGAGTGTGTGTATGTTGTGTGGTGCTTGTGTTTGTATGTGTGTGTGTGTGCGTGTGTGTGTGAGAGAGAGAGAGAGAGAGAGAGAGAGAGAGAGAGAGGGAGAGAGAGGGAGAGAGAAAGAGAGAGAGAGAGAGAGTGTGTGTGTGTGTGTGTGTCTGTGGTGTGTGTGTGTTTGTGTGTTCCGGGGGGGGGGGGAGGGGGATGAGTTAACGATGAGTGAAAATGTTCATTAAGAATAAGTTCCGTATAACAACGTCAAAATGTTTTAGTATGTCCCAACAGTTTGTTTTAAAACAAATAATAATAATGGCATGCAAATCTTGAGATTTTGTGTATTAAATACTCAAGAAACCACGACAATTTCAACCGTCAACTAAGGCGGACAATTGTGAGGCAGCGTGGTGGAATCAGGCTCTCGTCAAAATAATGAAATCGAAGAAAACAGCAGTTTTCTCCCCCCTTAGCAATTTTTATCAAATTTTTGTTGTCTGGCTCAACACCTTTTATGTCCATTTACAAACACATTCCTTTGAGGAGTTCACCTAAAAACATTGATTAAAGGCACACAAAATGTAAATTTTCAGTTACCACGGACTCTTAAGCAAAGGAAAGAACTATCTTTGGAGGCCATTTTCTCACTAATTTTACCTCTGAAAACAACTGACCCCCACCTCCTTCATCCGCAAATATCTCGACTTGTATTCAAGATAAATGGATATTTTTTCCACCCAAATAAAGACAAATGAACAAGCTTTAAGATGATATCAGTCACTCTATATTCCCAAAATTGACGAGAGCCTGATTCCACCACGCTGCCTCACAATTAATTACTAAGTGTTTGTTGTGGACGTTTTATTCGAGTCCTCTCCCTTCGCTTGCTGTTTTCGATCCTCTCCCTTGGTCTGTCCCCGGCCACACGACAGGATCTGCATGATTTCCCGCCTCACAGAGCGGCCTGTGATGATGTACAGGTAGAAATTGATGGCGTAGTTGAGCTCCCACAGGATGGCCGTGACGTCATCGCTGACCCTGAGCCAGGCCCAGGTCGGGTGGTTGATGGTCATCAGGGCATTGGCGGCCTGCGGGAACACTGTGGCCAGGAACGCTACAGACACCGCGATGATCTGGGCGGAGCAGAAGGGGGAAAACATGAAAGGATGAATGAAAGAAGGAAAGAAACAAAGAAACAAAAAAACAAAGTAACAAAGACGGACAGACAAAAAGCCAGATAGACAGACAGAGAGACAGAGAGAAAAAAAGAAAGAAATACAGAAAGACAGAAAGACAGAAAGAAAGAAAGACCGACAGACAGACAGAGAGACAGAAACAAAGAAAGAAAGAAATACTAAGAAAGAAAGAAAGAAAGAAAGAAGAAAGAAAGAAAGACAGACAGACAGGCAGAAAGACAGACAGACGGACCGATAGACGGACAAACAGACGGACAGAGAGAAGGAAAGACAGACAGACGAAAGCAGATCACTGCAAAGAAAAACATGCGAAACGGTATCGGTTAAACAACGGCTTTTGCAATACCCTAAGATTTTTTTAAGAAGCTCACATGACCTTATACAGTTGCGAACGCCGTAAAACTCTTACTTAACTAAAGTAAAGGAAGCCTGGACGAATTCTTTTTAATACAATGGCTACAACAGTTATGTTAATCTATGGCTAAATACATGTATGTTAGGTCAACTTTTGGACACCAGAATAGACACAAGGGTCTTGAACATCTAGCTCTCACTGGCAAAATTGAAGGCAAGCGAGGCAGGGATAGGCAGAGCAACCTGCTTGGGGAACCTGAACAAATGGGTAACAGGGAAAGATCAGGGAAACGTGGCTTTTTTAAAGAGCATCCGAGCAAAAGAATGAATGGAGAACCATGATCGCCGATGTCTGTCGCAGATCGGGCACTGGATGATGATGATGATGATGATGATGATGATGATGATGATGATGATGATGATGAAAGTCAACTCTAAATCAAGTATACAACTAATACACTTTGGGTACACTGCTCGGGCGGTTTTTAATGACGCGCTCTGTGTCAACCTGACTGACATCCCCACGCTGTTTTTGTGCATTAAAAAAGTAAATCAAAGAATGTTCCTTTTAAGAGAATTAGAAAGTTTTCGTGTCAATAATAAAATTATGTCCCTGTGGTTGATTCATGAATCTAATATGATATTAACATTTTGTCAGCTTTACTTCTCATTTTTTTAAAAATTGAATTTTCATTTAAATTGTTATGTATACCTGCATGTGTGTTTACGGTCCTGTACAGCCAAGAAAAGAATGTCCTTTGGGTAATATAGTATTATCTTCTCTTATCTTATATAATCTAGTCTTATCTTATACAATCTTATATTATCTTATACAATCTTATATTATCTTATACAATCTTATCTCACCATGTTGGTCACTCTCCGGAAGCGGACGGATCTCTTAGGGTCAGAGGTCAGGTTGCCCTTCTGTCTATGAAGGGAAGCCACGATGGTCATGTTGCAGGCAAAGATGATCGTCAGAGGGAGCATGCTGACCTAGTGAGGGAAACAGAAGGAACTTCTACGATCAAAAAGAATTCAAAAGATTCACTTATATCACAGATAAGCATATCCGTGAGTGACAAGTCTTTAAAAATTCAACGGTAGAAATATATATGTGAGACAGCGTGGTGGAATCAGGCTCTCGTCAAAATATTCAAAGTGAAGAAACTTGCGTTTTTCCGCAGGTTTATGAATTTTTTTCAAATTTTTGTTTTTTGGCTCAACACCTTTCATGCCTATTACAGAACTGATCTCTGTGGGAAATTTGCGGGAAAATGTTGATTAAAGGCACAAAAAATGTAAACTGTCAGTTACCACGGGCTCTTATGCGAAAGAAATAAATAATCTTTGGCGTTCATTTTCTCACCAATTTTACCTCTGAAAACAGGTGACCTCCTCCTCTTTCTTTCGAAAACATGTCGACTTGTATTCAAGATAAATGCCTGATTCCGCCACGCTGTCTCACATATTTCAAAAAGGCAACAAATGAATAGATAACTGAGAGCAATAAACGAAAGGGTAAAAATGTAAAAATATTTTTTAAGCATTCGTCTTCGACAAGGAAGAAAGGCAAAAGCTTGGTTCTTACCACCTCCCCCACATGTTCATACACTACTTGATTTATATTTTAAGCTATATATTATACGTCTTTGAAGAGCAATTTGTCTCAGCAGTACATGAATACTTGTAGTTACTGGTAGTTGGGTGTTTCAAAACCGTTATTGTAGTGCCATCTTTCTGGTCCTTTCATTTTGTTTATTGATTGTTGCTTTTTTGTGTGTTTGTTTTTCTTTGTCTGAGTCTGAATGGATCGTTGATCTTCTTTTTAAAAGTTAAATAACATAATAATAATAATAATAATAATAATAATAATAATAATAATAATAATAATAATAATAGTAATAATAATAATAATAATAATAATAACGATAACATTACATAAGAAAAATAATAATAATAATATAATAATAATAATAATAATAATAATAATGATAAGAAGAAGAAGAAGAACAATAATAACAATAGTAATAATAATAACAATAATAATGATAACAACAATAATAATATTAATAATAATAATAAATAAATAAATAATTATGATGATAATAATAACAGAAATAATAATAATAGTAATAA